GTTCTGATACACACCTCATTCTGAATGGAACTTCTTTGTTCCCTGCTATCGAAGCTTTGCTCCACCACATTTTCCACAGCTTCTAGGTCGCCCATATCCAGGCGCTCTTCTTCATAAGTGCTTGGCCTCTCAGAGGTCCCCAAGCAGCTAACGGAAGTAATATGTTCCCAGCCAGAGAAGCTTTCCGTCGCTTCAACAAACTCCTCATGACTCCTGCCTTCTTGGCTGTCCACCTCTCTGCCTTCCTCTATCTGAGCTTCTCGCTCCGAAGTAAGGCTGTCGCGAGGCTCGAGGCCAACCTTGCAGGAATCGACTTCCCTCCAGCAAACGCTGCTATCGGAGCAAACATTCACCGCTTGCTCGACCTTCTGCATCGCCAGCTGCCCCCTTTTCGCCATCGCAAGCTCGAGTCGCCGCTCGAAGTCCACCCTCTCTAATTGGAGCTGCTGCTTCAGTATGCGTGTCTGACGCTCTAGCAACACTTTATTTTCACGCGTTACGCGCTCTAGCTCCTCCTTCTTAGCTCTAAGCACCAATTCAAGCTTTTCCTTCGCCGCCTTTCGTTCTGCAGCCCGTTGCTCACGCTCCCTCTCCATCCGCTCCTCGTACCATACTCTAAACTCCGCTCCCGTCAGTCCCATTTTATCCGCCAACTCAATTAACTCCCACGTGTTCGTCATCGTGTTAACCGCGTCAAAAAATCTACTGGAAAAACAAACGACTTTGTCCTGTCGCTGCGGACGCCAATTTGTGATGCAGGTTTCTTGTTGCTGATTTGTTTTTCTCCCGGGCTGAGCCTCAGAGAGTTTTGTTAATAAGGACAAAGCCGTTCGGTTTCCAAGAAACACACAAAAAGTTTAATTGAAAAGTAAAAAGGCAAAGATTCCTCACAAAACAAAACACTTAATAAACAGTTGACTGGACATGACGAAACACATCTGTAAACACCCAACAAAACCGTTCAAAGTCAGTAACTAAACCTAACGTTCGAAAGGGGCTGAGTGATGGGAGTAGCGCAAGAGTATCGGTGCAGTCTCACCCACAAGTTGGTTTTCGGCGGTGATGAGAAACCGGAACGCCGTGACTCCTGCGTCACTGCGTGGGCTGGACGAGGACGAGGGAACGCTGGCTGCTGGCGACACGTCGAAAAGCCCTACCAAATCGTGATGGTTTCGGCTTGAGGAGCGTGGACACGTCGGAGACGGGAGAACGCAGGCTGGTGGCGACGCGTCCGGGAACTAGGGTCGACCTAGTCAAGCAGCTGGGCGCACAGCTCGGGCCCGGAGCCCGACGGCTGTAGCTCGCCTGCCGGAACCAAAGTCCGCAGGCTCTGGAAAGGAGTTCAGGACCGGATGGCCACGGTCCTTTGGAGCGGGAACCCGACAGCAGGAGGCCCCGGCCGGTGGAAGTCCTGTAGGCTCGGGTCCGGAACCCAACGGCCCATCTTCAGCGCCCGGTCCGGTGACGACCTTCCGCTTGCACTGCCTGCCTCGAATTCCCCTTGCTCTGGTCCCCCCAGGCTCCTGCTTCAGCTCTGGCCCACTTGTCTCGTTCTCATTGGAGATACTGCTGTTTCGTGGTGTCAAGCCATTGGGCCTTGAAATCTCCGTGTTCGCTGCCCATTGGATGTTTTACCTTTTGTTTACTTCACGTCCTGCCACGCATCCTCGTGCTTGACGCTCTTTAACGTCGTCATTCTTGTTTAAGCAGCACCGCACGTGCACTCTGGTATTTCTCCTTTTGTTTTTTTTTCTCCGTGCCGCGCACTTTTCGAAGGCGCGCACTTTGAACGCGCACCACACATCACAACCAGGCAGTAGGAGATTATGGCATCGGTACTAGAAACGCCAGAGGAGAGCTACTAGTAGAATTCGCAGAACGCAATAATTTACGGATTTTGAATACCTTCTACCGAAAACGAGAAAACCGCAAGTGGACATGGAGGAGCCCTAATGGCAAAAATAAGAACGAAATAGACTTTATAATGAGTGCACACCCTGGAATCGTGCAGGATGTGGAAGTGATTGGCAAGGTACGATCCAGTGACCATAGAATGGTACGGTCTCGAATTCGCCTAGACTTGAAGAAGGAACGACAGAAACTGATACGCAAGAAGCCAATCAATCAGCTAGCACTCAGAGGGAAAGTACAGGAATTCAGAGTGTCGCTGCAGAACAGGTACTCGGCTCTTAGTGAGGAAACCAACCTTAGCGTAGATACAATGAATGATAATCTGACGAGTATCATTACGGAGTGTGCAGTGGAAGTTGGAGGCAGGGTAGTTAGACAGGACACTGGCAAGCTTTCCCAGGAAACGAAGAACCTAATTAAGAAGCGTCAAATCATGAAAGTGTCAAGTACAACAGACAAAATAGAGCTGGCAGAGCTTTCGAAGTTGATTAATAGACGTAAGGTATGCGATGTAAGAAGGTATAACATGGAGAGACTTGAACACGCTCTGAAAAACGGAGGAAGTGTCAAAGCATTGAAGAGGAAACTTGGGATAGGCAAAAGTCGGATGTATGCACTAAGGGACAAAGAAGGCAAAATAACTACCAATATGGATAGGATAGTTAAAATAGCGGAAGAGTTTTACAGAGATCTGTACAGTAGCCGAGACAACCACGACCTTAATACTATAAGAACTAGCAGTAACCCAGATTACACCCCACCAGTAATGATAGAAGAAGTCAGAAAAGCTTTGGAGAGCATGCAAAGGGGCAAAGCTGCTGGTGAGGATCAGGTAACATCAGATCTGCTGAAAGATGGAGGACAGATTGTGTTAGAAAAACTAGCCACCCTGTTTACGAGGTGTCTCCTGACGGGAAGAGTACCAGAGTCTTGGAAGAACGCTAACATCATCTTAATACATAAGAAAGGAGATGACAAGGACTTGAAGAATTACAGGCCAATCAGCTTGCTCTCTGTAGTATACAAGCTATTTACAAAGGTAATTGCTAACAGAGTAAAGAAAACATTAGAATTCAATCAACCAAAGGAACAAGCAGGATTTCGAACAGGCTACTCAACAATTGACCACATTCATACTATCAATCAGGTAATAGAGAAATGCTCAGAGTATAACCAACCACTATACATAGCCTTCATAGATTACGAGAAGGCGTTTGATTCAGTAGAAATATCAGCCGTCATGCAAACACTGCGGAATCAGGGCGTAGACGAAGTATATATAAACATTCTGGAAGAAATCTACAGGGGATCAACTGCTACCATAGTGCTTCATAAAGAAAGCAACAGAATACCAATCAAGAAGGGTGTAAGGCAGGGGGACACAATTTCCCCAATGCTATTTACTGCGTGCTTACAGGAGGTTTTCAGAAGCCTAGAATGGGAACAGTTAGGGATAAGAGTCAATGGAGAATACCTTAGTAACCTGCGCTTCGCCGATGACATTGCATTGTTGAGTAACTCGGGGGCCGAATTGCAACTCATGATTACAGAGTTAGACAAGGAGAGCAGAAAGGTGGGTCTTAAAATTAATCTGCAGAAAACGAAAGTAATGTACAACAACCTCGGCAAGGAGCAGCGCTTCGAGATAGGTAATAGTGCACTTGAAGTTGTAAAAGACTATGTCTACTTAGGGCAGGTAATAACCGCAGAGCCGAACCACGAGATTGAAGTAACTAGAAGAATAAGAATGGGGTGGAGCACATTCGGCAAGCACTCTCAAATTATGACAGGTAGATTGCCACTATCCCTCAAGAGGAAGGTATATAACAGCTGTATCTTGCCGGTACTTAGCTACGGAGCAGAAACCTGGAGACTTACAAAGAGGGTTCAGCTTAAATTGCGGACGACGCTGCGAGCAATGGAAAGAAAAATGGTAGGTGTAACCTTAAGAGACAAGAAGAGAGCAGAGTGGATTAGGGGACAAACGGGGGTTAAGGATATCATAGTTGAAATAAAGAAGAGGAAATGGACATGGGCCGGGCATGTAGCGCGTAGACAGGATAACCGCTGGTCATAAAGGGTAACTAACTGGATTCCCAGAGAAGGGAAGCGGGTTAGGGGGAGACAGAAGGTTAGGTGGGCAGACGAGATTAAGAAGTTTGCGGGTATAAATTGGCAGCAGCAAGCACAGGACCGGGTTAACTGGCAGAACATGGGAGAGGCCTTTGTCCTGCAGTAGACGTAGTCAGGCTGATGATGATGATGATGATGAACATTAAGAAAAGCTGTAGATACAAGGTATACGCCCCACATTGGTCAATCTCCTAATTTCGACCTGCAACAAACTACATAGTAGAAATAGCTGATCTGTGAACTTCACCCCTTTGCGACATGGTGTCTTCATTTGAAGACCCCACCAACTTTTGCTGTTGTACAATATTAATAATGGCAAGGAAGAGACCACCCACATTGAACTAATAGTAATTAGTCATTCTCCTTAATATCACTTTGATATGTGGGGTTCGTCCCAAAACCACCATATGATTATGAGAGACGCCGTAGTGAAGGGCTTCAGAAGTTTTCACCACCTGAAGTTCTTTAAAATGCGCCCAACTCTGAACACACGGGCCTACAGCATTTTCACCTCCATCGAAAATGCAGCCCCCACAATTTAATATCACTTTTGGTTGAGATATCTAGACACACAGGATCGCTTTGTTGAAAGAAGCACTATGTTTAATGAGCTGTTAAGAATGGGACAATTTGGTAGGAATGTAAAAAATGTTTAACTTATTAGGAATGCTCACTATAAGCAGATAACATACCACTGTAATTTGAGTGGGTCGTTGCATTCGGTTTATGAATAAAGCCCAACTTACTCACTACAATGAATAGATTTTTTGCACTAATTATATTTAATTGCTATAAGACATGCTACACCTCCACTCACACTAAATTTGGTCTCCATAACCTCAACATCAAATGACATCAAATCATACAAATTTCCCGTACATTTAGACAGTGAACCATAATGCATGTCGCAAAGAGTTTAATTCTGGAGTGAAAAAGATGGCAAATGCTTGACAGACCTGGTCATTAGAACAACTGGCCAAGAGGGAGCCATCGGAGTTGACTCTGACCATGCGCACCCACTCCCGATGGCCTGTGAACGTCTTGACACAGTACCTGCACACATACAACAGATCCACGTTTGGTTAGGAGACTGAAAGCGCACAAAAGACGCGGACAGTTTAGAAATGATTCAACAGCAAAAGATTCGAGCACTGGCACCTCAGGTCTGCCAATATTAAAAAACATTAGGTTACCGACTACTGGGAAGATGTTTAGACAAATAATAAAACGTACTTTCTAAACAGAACTTGTTGCACCTCAGACAAAATGACCGATATCACAATAATCCTCAAGGTAACCCCTCGACTAGTGGCAACAAGGCCATGTTACACAATTTCAGCATTTCTCCAGATGAGTGATTGCTTCACTGGCCAATACGCAGTCATCGAGGCCAACTTCTGAGCTGTTTGCGATATAAGCTATGAAAGCTTTATAAGCAAGAAGCCTCATCATACCAGGGTATGCACCAACAAAGCATGCAAAAAACTCGAGAAGTCGGAGTTCAGGTTAATGGTGTCCACTGACACTTGGGGATGAAATTTTTAAGACTGCCAGTTGATGAAGTGGAGGACTCGCAACAATTCCACTTTACTTTACAATGACGATGCAACCGAGGTAGTACCCACTTTAGTGGAATCGCAAATTACGAACGCCTTTGGCACACAGTTCAAAGCGAGGGCCCGACCCCAAATGTGAAAGCCACATTGCATTGCAGCTCGACAGCAAATCCAAACAAGCTAAGATTACAACTTTTTCAAAATACTCTCTCACCACTTGACCTGGTTACCTTTGTAACTTTAGGATATTTACCTTCGCAGCTACAAAATTTCTGAAGCCCCAGTCAATTTCGTTGTACCTGGGTTCAGACTGAAGCTGCAGTATGGTGGCATTTACGTCAACAAACAGTATGCTCCACACAGCCTCGGCCCATGCAATTATGAACAGACACCACTGAAACAACGGGAGCCGTTGTTTTCTCGCAGGAAGAGGCACTCCTCAACGAGCTCACTCACCCCGTGGATACCTCCCACATCTTGATGGTCTTGTCTCTCGAGCAGGACACCACGTGGTCCCCGCTCGGCAGGAAGGACACTGACGACACGTTGTGGTCGTGTCCTGAGACAAGAGTGGAGGAGAGGAAACGAAGTCATGAATCGTGAAAACACTTTCTACGAATAAATGGCTTTTAACTTTACAGCATTCCAGTATGCAGAAATCACTCACAAAGTAACAAACATTGGTTGCTTCAATTACACAGTAACAACCTCGATATTACACTTTTCACAACCATAAAGCACTCTTATCAATGTGCCTCTACGAAGATCCTATGACAACTTGCCGAAAAGAAAACAAAAACATGCATCTTGAATGCCTAAAAGCTGAAACTCATGTGCCATTTGTTTCTGTGATGGGTGCCACGAGCACCCATACAGAATTGGCCCAGGCCCTCGCAAGTGTGTAGCGAGACAACCATTCATCCTATGCTAAAGTCCTACAATGAAGATGCAATAGGCTCCCCTCATAAGCCGTGTGTGCTTGACGCTAAAGCAAGTGTTAAAGGGACACTAAAAAGAATGATTTTTAAGACATTACGCTTGCTGCAAGAGGATTTTTGGTAAGCGAGAAAATGCGCGAAGTCATAATGTGGCTGGTGACACCATCTTCAAGTCGCTGTGATGTCATCGATTTTGGCAGTGCCTACTATATCCTGCGTAGTTCCTAATCGGTAGAAATGAAGCGTTTCCCACGAGAGCAGGACTTACATTAATCAGTCCTTAATTAACGTTTATTTTGGGTATGTCAGCATGCTGCAAGTGAAAGAAGCAAACAAACTAGCAAGTGAGAAAGGCAAATTCTTGATGTTTGTGCCCGTAGAGTAGCCTTTTAAATGAAACTCAACAACTAAAACAAAAAACTCACCGTGCATTGTACGAATACACTCGTATGTCTGGAAATCCCACAATTTGATGGTCATGTCTGCTGAACAGGACACTGAAAAAAGAAAAAGAAGAATGTTACTGTGGGCGGTGCGGCTTCTGTGCCCATCTACAACAAGTCTTTTTAATGTGATTACAGTGCACTCTCAGTGAACGAAGATCTGTTAAGGGGGGACGCGGCCCTTGAAAACCGAAAAATCGCGAAAAAGTCGGTTTTTGAAAAACCACATTTTTGAGTTGTATGTCTCATAAACTACCTATTCTGTAATTATCAGCACCTAATTCAACCGCAAAGTGCAAAAAAAATACTATTTTCGAGGCCGCCGCGGCGTCCAAAACGGGCGCAAATCCCGAAATCAAACCAAACTTCGCGCGCGCGCCATTCCCGGACCATGCGGTCGTCCCGCGCCATCTTGGTGTTGTTTTGACCGTGAATTCTTTCTCTCTCGTTCGCCGCCTTGCAAATTGGCGTAGGCAGCACAGTTAAGACGCTATTGGCGTTTTCCCGCGATGCGATGCGGAGCGCTGATTGGCTGGAGCAGCGCATTCATATCTCGCGGGAGAAAGCGTGCCCGCCATTGGCTGCTGTGCAGCAGCGGGGGCGGTCGCTCCTCTCAATGGCGCGGTCCAGCGCGCTCGCTTCGTTGTTGCTCTCTGCTCCGTCCGCCTCGACAGACGTCTGCTTACGAGCCGCTCTGCGCCTTGTGCTATCTTTTCGATCATTTTCTCTCGTTTTTTTTTTTCTTTTTGCACTAGTTCTGTGCCTTTCGTCTTTGTTGTTGCGGGCGATGCCGGCAACGAAGCCGAAGTCATTGATTGATTTGTGGGGTTTAACGTCCCAAAACCACCATTTGATTATGAGAGACGCCGTAGTGGAGGGCTCCGGAAATTTTGACCACCTGGGGTTCTTTAACGTGCACCCAAATCTGAGTACACGGGCCTACAACATTTCCGCCTCCATCGGAAATGCAGCCGCCGCAGCCGGGAATCGAACCCGCGACCTGCGGGTCAGCAGCCGAGTACCTTAGCCACTAGACCACCGCGGCGGGGCGTCGACGAAGCCGAAGTCAGTGCGGAAGTCCGGTGCGCGGAGGCGCGCTATGCGGCTTGTACGATCATCGAAATTACGCTATTCTGCTGCGGGTGCCAACTGCGTAGACGCTTGCAGCGACGGAACTGTGTTGTCGGCTGTCGCCAGTCGAGAATCCGACACATCGAGTGTGGCTGGAGCCGCAAATGCACCGAGTGTTTCCGAGATCGCCGGGCTCGACACGTGCTCCGAATCGATGCCATCCAGTGTGACACCGAGTGCTTCTGATATCGCCGGACCCAGCACTTCGTCTGAATCGGTGCCATCGAGCGTGACACCGAGTGCTTCCGATATCGCCGGACCCAGCACTTCGTCTGAATCAGTGCCGCCATCGAGCGTGAGTGGACCGTCGCTTCATCTGCGGACGCGTTTCCTAATGAAGGAAGAAATCGATGCGAATGCGAAACGTCGTGACGCCGTTTGCGCTGAACTCGAGTCCACGCCGGCGACGCAGAAGAAATTTCAACTGATGCAGCCGGCTCTTGCACCTGCAGTGACAAGTGAGGGCGAACATTTTTCGCTCGGTCAAATGAACATCTTTAACGTCGTGCTCAGCCGCACAGTGTGCAAAGAATGTTTGAAAGGTGCTATGACTGTCCGAGAGAGCACCAAGATTGGACTTGCAACAAAACTTGAAGTCGTGTGCACCTCTTGTGGCACCGTCGATAAATTATGGACATCACCCCGCAAAAAGGACACGCAGGCCTTCGATGTAAATGTTCGCGCCATAATGGCTATAAAGCAAATAGGCAAGGGGCAAACAGCTCTTAATAACTTTTGGGCTGCCATGAACGTCTCTTACAGAGGTCTTCACCACAAGACGTTTCAAAAGCACTTGAAAGAGACGTTCAGGAAGCCAGAGGCCACCGCTTTGGAGAAGTTTTATGCTGATTCTGCCACATCAGTGATCAAAACATATAAAGAAATGAACCCCAACTTCTGCAAGGACATCACCGTAGTGTACGATGGCACATGGCATAAGCGGGGTCACACATCACACATCGGAATGGGATCGGTAATTGACTTCTTTACAGGTCTCATCTTGGATGCTATAGTTCTTTCAAACCACTGCCTTGGATGCCAAACAGGGCCCAAACCTGGAGATGCAGCATACGAAAGCTGGCAGAAGCACCCCATTTGCCAGAAAAACACAGACGCAAAATCGGGAAGCATGGAAGTGGAGGCAGGCTTGACTCTCTTTGGGCGGTCTGTATCCAAGCATGGCCTGCGGTACACCACTCTTGTGTCCGACGGAGACAGCCGTACCTTTGCTGCCCTCACAGAAGAGAATGTGTATGGGCTAGTGCCAATTGTAAAAGAAGAATGTCTGAACCATGTTCAGAAAAGGATTGGAAGTGCTCTTCGAAACATTGTGCAGAAAAGTGATAAACCACTGAGTGGGAAGGGGAAGCTGACTAAAGCCCTCATTGAAAAGCTGACAGGATATTAAGGTTGGGCCCTGAAAAACAATTCAACTGACCTAACAGCCATGCAGCGTGCAGTGATGGCAACATATCACCACGTCACATCGACTGACCAGGACCCTCACCATGAACTTTGCCCAGAGGGGGCAACAATCGTGGTGCCGCCATAGAGCTGCAGAGGCAAAGCGTGAGCCACAGCCAAAACAAACACAGCCTACCGGACTATGTCGCTGCAGCTATGCTGCCCATCTACGAAAGACTGTCACAAAAGTCGCTTCTTCAGCGCTGCCTGGGAGCGAAGACGCAAAATGCATCAGAATCATTTCCCTCCTTTCTGTGGTCTCTGATGCCGAAGGAACAACACTCACCCTTGATCGCGGTAGAAACAGCACTGCATGAAGCAGTGCTGCGCTACAATGCCGGCTGCTGCAAAGCAACCCAAGTGATATCGGACTCCATTGGACTTCAACCAGGTCATCTGGCCATCCAGCGAGCTCGTGAAAAAGACGCTTTATGCCTAAAAAAGAATTCTAAAAGACACCAAGAGAAGATGGAGGCCAGGCAAAAGAAGAAAAGAGTGCGCCAGGACACTTCTAGCTACTGTGCTGGAGCTTTTTGAAGAAAACACGTGTTTTGAACTTTCTCGCCCTGTTTTCTCGGAACGGATTTTTTTGCTAGTTGCGGTGCTGAGGAAAGCAAGAACCTGAAAACCGTTCATCAGATTTGTGTGCCGTTTTTTTTTATTCTGTTCTTGAATGACCTTGCAAGGGCGTAACAAGCTTCTTTTCTTGAAAATTGGTGCTGTTAATTTATAATAAACAATTAATTTTTGATGAATCTGGTCATTACTGGTTACATCAAATTCAAAGTTGCGTGAAAATTGGGGGGGGGGGGGAATTAAAAAAAAACGACTTTTTAGCGCCCTGGGATAGCTATCAAGGAATGACCACAAAGAATTTCAGCTTTCTACTATGTCCTGGGATTTCTCACGACTCTTCCTCAGGCACCCATGTGAAGCACTCAGTTAAACCTCAATAACTCTGGAACTAAGAGACACAGCTTCGTGAAACTTAGCAGTTGTGCTAGTTTTATTGTAGTGAACAACCCCTGAAAGTTTTATCCAGATATCTTAAAAAATAAAAAATTTCCGTCTCCAGGGTAGCCTCCCCTCTTAAATGGAACTGCTGCTTAAATGGAACAGCTGCCTCTATCACAATTGGTTTCGTACCTGAGTTCTGCACCCCTGTATCTGAATTCTGCACCCAATAAATGGAACTCCTGTTAAACTAAACATTTTCCTGTCCCCTTCAGGTTCCGTTTAACGAGAGTCTGCCGTACTTCTATACTGTTTTAGGTCAACATAACGATTACATTCTTCTGGAAACCTGTGGCTCCATTCTCTGTCAATTAGTACGATGTTCCCCACAGATTGAATGGAGCAACATTTTGCAAACGACACATCAGTGGCTCGCAAAATGGACAAGCATCTGCATGAAAGTGATGCCCCAAGTTAGGCATTTATACTGTTCTCAAAAGCAATCAGAAAAAATGGTTATGTCCGACCTGTTTTGCAACAGTAGCTGAAACTACCCACATACCTAAAAAATTTGATTGTGTCATGGCTAGACAAGAAGTCAAATTTTTTGTTGTGTTTGTGCAGTGTACACTGTCTGCACATAAACCTTAAACATAATGCTCTCACACTGCCCCTAGAGCTAACTACTACTACGACTACTTATGCCAAGGCCGCTATAACTTCTAATACCAGTGGAATAAATAAAGGCTTTCAGTACGTGAAGGTACAGTACGCGCACAATTTTCAAGATCTCAATCTCGAAACGTTTCCTGCCCACAAGATCGGAAATACCGATCAATGTTGTTGCTTAGAAATTCCAGCAACACAACACCATGTACTTGGAGAAAAAAGAATGACAACACGTCTATTATCGACTATATGCACTTGCACATGTTGGTATCATCAGTGATTTGCTTTCTGCTGCTTATGAAGAGTGATGGCACGCAAAAAGCAGCTAACAGAGCTTCAGGTGACTCCGGCCCTCTCCAATTTTCATTTCCTTTGGCTGGCAGTGTACTAAGTGCTCTACAGGCACAATACTGCATTTAACACAGTGTTTGATGTGCTGCTATGATAGCAATAGCAAACAAACAAGTAGTTCTGTTTCTAATAATGCCTGCAGCCAACAGTGAACTGATGCACATGCTCTGAACTGCCGATTTTATTACAGTCCGTCCCGAATATATCAAACTCTGATACACTCAAACTCTGATACACTCAAAGCTCGACATAACAAAGTTGCATCTAACTCGAAAATAAGTTTGTATACAAAAATTTATTCCCAATACTATAGCTATTGAAAGGCTATATTTCATTTACTTCGTTTTCAACAATACTTCGCTATATAGATATTCGTTATATCAAGATATGAGTGCATATTGAATTACTGGCTATATCGAAATCCCATTGAGACATACAGAATGAAATGAAACGAGAGAAAAGGCAGCGAGATTGATCAAATCTGTAAAGCCCGGTTTTCTACATTGAACACCCCATTCGAAACTATAAGGCTGGTATACAGGTATTACGAGTTAATGCACGCCAAAAGCCTGTTTATACACGCACGTGTGTATTATATATACATGTCGTATTTACCCATTCCGAATGCACACCTTTTTTTGTGAAAAATAGATCTTAATATCGTACGCACGTTAGATTCTGGCACGGATGTTTCAACTGGCCCATAGCTGTACTTTTTGTTTTCGGGTCACGTAAGTTAGGCCCGCATTGGAATTGGGAAGATACAGTATATATACATATATATACACACACACACAGTAGACTCTTGTTAATGAAACCTGAAGAGACCAGGAAAATATGTTAAGTTTAGCAAGAGTTCCGTTTACTGAGTGGTGAACATGGGTACAGAATACCTGCCTGAAATCAAACATAGCAGAAGCAATTCTGTTTAGGCAGTAGTTGCGTTTAACAGATTTCCGTTATGTGAGAGTCTACTGCGTGTGTGCGTGTTCCTATATATATATATACAAACTGAAGAAGTTTTTCCAATAGGCCAAGTGTACTTAGAGAAGTGACACAACTTTGCGGTTTTGTCTTAATTATATTTCCAACGGTTTCTACCAATGAACTGGTCTTCCTCAGGATTAGTGATTTTTTTTATATATATATATATATAAAAGAAAGACGCGTATGTATATATATATATAAAAGAAAAAAGTGTATACTAAAGGGCTCATTTTTTTCGTGTTTTCAGACTATATTAATGAAATCTAACAGACAATATTACCAAGGAAAGTATAGGGTAGGTTGTCAGACCGAATTGTAAGGTAAATGTGAAGAAAGAAAAGTGTGTGAAAAGATAACTTGCCGTAGGCAGGTTCAGTTCCTGCCCACGGCAAGTTTTATTTCACCCACTTTTCTGTCTTCACATTTACCTTACAATTCGGTCTAATAACCTACCCTCTACTTTCCTGGGCATTATTGTCTGTTAGATTTCATATATATAAATACAGAGAAAGAAGCGTATACTTAAGGGCTCGTTTTTCCGTGTTTAGCAAAATATCAAGATTTCGCGCGCGTGCGTGTGTGTGTATATACAGCCGAGCCTACATATAACGGCCCCACTTAAGACGAACTTTCCCTTAAAATGAACAATATCGGCGTGACCGTCAAAATATACATTGGTTCAATGGCACAAAATCGCACTTACAACGAACGTCTCCGAGCGCCACTGATCGGTTACAGCGAACGGAGTCAGCGATTTGCAGACTTCCCGGGAAACCAATTTCGACCACCGATCAGGCATCGGCGACGTGCCCATACATTCTTATTGTTAAACGTCGATTCTCCCTCCGCGCCCCTCTAGTTGCTGCTCTCCCCGATTGCTTTTTGTTACGCACCCCTCCGTCCTTTGTCCCCCAGCTACTCTGAGCAACCTGCATTACCAGACGCGGCCCGTGTTTTCACACTGCCACCGATCTTTCGAAGACCGGTCGGCCACGTATCCTGTTTTTGATCGCTTGTACTGTCGTTGGCGTCACCGGCCTGGAGTGACCAGACCATTTGCCAACATCGTCGGCCACCGACTGTATCCAAAGTCTGCGTCTAGTGCACGTGTGTACGTTACCCTACCGACTCTGATAATTTGCGATTCGTTTCGTGTTTAAGACTTGTTCTCGCTCACTTCGCACTTAACTCAGCATGCCTTGCGCGCGCGTGCGGAAGCGCGAAAACGGCTGTTAATTTGTGCGGAACGAATTGCGAAATATCAAAGTTCGCGAGGCCACGCAAACCCGCCGGCGCAACAAAACGATTTCTTGATCACTGCCGCCGATTCCAACTGGAAACGCGCCCAGAGCTGTTCAACGCGTGCGCGCGTAATGCTCGCTCTTGGTGTGTATGTGTGGTCATGATGGCCGACGGGAGGACTAGCACGCTTTTTCGTGTCGCTCAAAAAAAATGTCAGAAGTGTGACCGCTTGGCTTGAGCGTAATCCGCGTGTTAGGTGCCGCGTTGCGGAGCGTTCGCTCATAGCTGCTGACCACCTGGCAGCCAACTTGCCACTTCGGGCGTCCCGGTATTCAGCTGTGAAGATGGTGAATATTTCGTGGGTGGCGGTGACGGCTACATGTGCGCGAAGCCGACTTCGTCGATCGTCGGGCTCGATGCTGAGCCTGAAGCTTCCGAACAGGACCACTGCGGCGGCGATTTGTGGCAGCGCGTCGTCGACTCCGACCTGGGAGAGCGGGTGGGATATCTGTTGCGATGATTTAATTACGGCCGATGATGATGCAGACACTGCGGAACCGTTCACGGGTTGGGGCATTGTGAATGAAGTACATGGCGAGAGCGATTTGGAGGAATCGGATTGCGAGAACGACGAAGCTTTGGAGCCAGCGCCTCATGCAGCTTATGCCATGGGCCTCGGCGAACGAGCAGCCTGCCGTTTTAAATGAACTCGAGGTCGCCCTTATCGTTTCTGCTCTTCGAAACACGTGCATTACGGACTTTTTGGGACAAAAAAAGTTACTGTTTTCACTCGCAACTTTTTTTTAAAAGCTGTGTTACATTTACTACGAACTTCGGGATACAGCGAACGGATGCCGCGTCCCGCTCAGGTTCGTTATAAGCGGGCTGGACTGTGTGTGTATGTATGTATGTATATATATATATATATATATATGCGCAAGTAGCCATAGCAACTGCACACTTTCTTTTGATGGCAGCACACTTATCAGAGCTTCTGAAGGGCACGCTATAAGAACTAGCTACACACATCCGTGCAAAAAAGAAGCAGGCAGATAAGGCCAAGGCAACCCAAAGACCTCCCACTTGCCAGCTGTGTAAACTGAAGGATCACGAACAAACACACGCTACAAAAAGAGAAACTGAGAAGCCCCTTCCCTGACCCGCATTTCCAATTCTGGCCTGCTGTACATCTATGGGGGCTCAGCCACTGGGATAGGAAAAGGCAGTTACAGCCTCTTAAGGTTCTTCATAGTCAAGCACAATTTTCTTTTTTTGACAATTTATCCTTTAGCTCCTACTTGTTTACTAACTCACCTTAAATCTGATAATTGTTTGGGTTCCTCAAATTTTTGAAGCCAGTAGAACGTGCTCACTTAACATCAAGCATGCAGAACAAATGCTTCATCATTAACCTAAAACAAAAGTAAAAATAAGCAGTGTGGCCTTGCTTCTCTAGAAATTGACAATCAGTGCCTTAGCATTAACAAGATTTATTTGTGGAAGTACTGCATATTATACACTTAAGTTGAGAATAATAATCGAGCTTTGTGTCTCATCTTCCAAGATTAATTTCCAAGGCTGGTAAGTGGTAATTGATCTTAGACATTGTAACAAGTGCAAAGGAGCACTAACACTAGAGACACAGATTTCGTTTCCCTTGCACTTGTCAAAGTTTCCATAGCCAACCAACCTCCTTTTAAGGGCAAAGCTTCTTATGGCGTGGCTCGTGCACCCCCGTTGTAGTGCGTAACCTGTGGCACATACCTGCCCTCGGGCACATATCTGCATGTCCACATGTTAACGTAGCATGGTGTCGTTATCACGGTCTCTGCGTTAACGAAGCGCTGACAGCAGAAATGTGGTGCATACTCTCGTTTAGTCCTTAGATTGTTTGGTGGATGGCGGTACTTGAAGTGTTCACTAGATGGACGGATGGACGCACGGATGGACAGGCTGACAAGCAGACAAACACATGGATGGACGGACAGATGCATGCACAGACAGGCGCATGAACGATGAACTGATGCACAGACGGATGGATGCACGAACGGCACATGTACGGACGGACGCAAGCACGGATGGATTGACGGATGCTTAACCCCACTTATCCATTCATTTTGTGGATATGCTGCGATTTTTTTTCAATGCGACCTTCACAGTGGAAAAGCAGTCACTAATTGCAAATAATACCCCCATACAAAAAGGTTTAATTAAACGTTCCTCTATCACTGACGAGTTGATTCATCACTGATGTGTGCCCACACAGACTGAATAAATGTAACAATCCCACATTTTTTGAAGATCTCTGGAAAACACCACATAATTTTCTTGATTACCTGTAATATAAAAAGGGGCTAATTAAACAAGCCTTATCAGGCAGCATGAATGCAAGAACTGCTACAATGTAAGGCAGCGCAGAACACAGTTGTGCAACGAAATGATCAAAGCGAGAATCGCCAACAAAATGTCAAGACTCCACGGTTTAATGGCATCCTTCCAGCCTTGCTGCAAAAATGTTGTACAAAATCAGTTGTCTTAGTGGAGAAACTTTGATGAAGCAAGTCCACCTTGCATTTACAGATGATAATCGGTTCATATTACATTCTGTTGGCGAAGCTTACCCTTGGCAGCTCCTCAAACACTGAAAACCGGCCTGTTTTGTTCTGCCCTTGGGACCTTAGCACCGTTTGTTTTCTAAGCTAATACCCACTTGAAAGTTCCTGCTTTGTCATCTGTGCCCACACTTTGGCAACTGTTGCCTCACAGATAGAAATCAATGCCTGGAGTTTTACGTGCCACAACCGCGACCCGATTATAAGGCATGCTGCAGTGGAGGGCTCCAGAAATTTTTGACTCAATTATGTTCTTTTGTGCACTGACATCACACAACTTACCGACCTCTAGCACCGCACCTCCACTGAAATGCAACTACTGCCACTGGAATTCTAAACCACAACTTTCGGGTCAGCAGTCAAGCACTTACTACAGTATCACTGCCACTAACCCCACCAACAAGTCATACAATGCACACATGGCAACAAATTTTTGCTGTGCACAGAAAAAAAAAAGGAACCAGTTCCCAACCCTACCTAGAAACTTCCCAGTGTGGTCAAACCCCAAGTCTTGCACGGAGTCCGTGTGGCCCTTCAGCGTTCGTTCGAAGTCTCCAGTCTCGTAATCCCAGACCTAGGCAAATCAGGTGAGAAAAGAAAGGTCCAGCACCATGGGCGCACTACATCGACCTGTCACTGAAATGCCAGAAGCAAAGGTAGGCAACAACAAAAAGCATCAACAGTTCCAAATCATTCTGCACCAAAAGCAGTTTACCAAAACCACAGCAAAATATGGGAACAAGAAATCACTACTGCTGCCTTTCACGCAACCGGTGTCCTGCAATTTGCTGTATTGCAGGCATGCAATTTCTAAGGTGCCAGCTGTTGCCAGTCCCAGGCAGAGTTAAGGCACCACAAGGTAAATGAAGATAGAAAAAAACATCTCAAGGGCATCAAAATACTCTAAAATGACGTCATTCAGCTTGGTCAATAATTCAACCGACCGCAGTGCAAGTAAACGAAATCACACGACTACTGGGTGCCAAGATTTTCCCATGGTACCTGGGTATAGTGTCCCGCCTTTTGCGTACTTGCACTGCAATCACTTCCTTGCAACAAAAGTGCTGAAGTATCCTTTCTTGAAAGAGAACGGTGACACTTATGAATTACATGAAGCAGCTTGCAATACCTCGAATGTAATTTATTAGCATGCTTAGGATATTTCGTGGGAATATTAAGCACCGATAAAGACAAAGATACATGCATAAGACATTGCATTAAAAAAAACTTCCAAAATGACATATTTGTTTCAACTTTAAGAGCCTCACCAGCAGATTAGTTTTAGCCACAGATTGAGGATTTCTTGACATGACAACGCTGACTTCAGAACTTCTAACCTCTTCTACTATCAGAATGGCTTCCCATTTGAAGTGGAGACTGAACTTGGCGGTAATGTATGTTCCTTATTCCAAAAAGAGCACACAAACACAACTGTCTAATTAAAAAATTGGCATTGTACACCACTAGAACCATCAGTCCAATTGCCACCAACTGCAGGATTGCCCAGACAGCAGCCGCAGAGAAGTTGAGGTTTCTGATGGACTATAATTCGGATGTGCAGGCACACATAACAGAGAAGTTTGGGCTTGTAACGGATTAGGATTGTGGCATTCGTGCACATGTTGCTAACAAGAATAGCAAAACGACCGAAAGGGAATGCTTATATTCGATTAAATGCGAGGGCCAAGCAGAACAAATCTTTGGATAAAAAGTCACATTAAAGTAGAGTAAGTATAATAATTCACTGAGATACGCGGGTTTGAGGACAATATATATCCTTATTGATGTGATAGAGCACTAGCGCTGACAACCTCTCCGTTTTGTACTTCATGAACACAAAAATTATGGCTTCCATTCTAGCCTTACAAACATGAACTCATTTCGTAGTTCATGGTTTGTGTGTGTGCCCTTCCTCATTATGCCACCCATATGGCCCAAAAACAATGTTCAGCAAACATGTAGGAACTGCAAATATCTTTAGTTTTCTCCCCTCGACAGAAAATTATCCTAGAGTAAGTGCACCAAATGGGGCTGCAGATTGGCAGTATCAATCCGTAATCTGTCTGAATGGGGCAGGAATGGAGGGCCGACCTTGATAGAGGCGTCTTCTGAGGCGGAGACAACCACACTGTAGACAGGGTGGAAGGCCACCCGAGTGACTGGTGACCGGTGGCCCGTGAGGGCATGCCGCTCGGGAGGCCTGGGAATCCATTCTGTAGGGGACCGCTTTTCCCGTGTGGGTGCGCCCGAAATGTACTCTTTCTCGGCCTCTGCCAGTCTACTCTCCAGTTCCATCACCTGCACAGCGCAATGACAAGCACGCTACGGGAAACCAACTACAGCAGCAGCACAATGCGAGAGAAAAGCAGAAAAAGTTTCTTTACAGACATATGCATCTGCATTTATGACAAAGTTAAAGATTGGTAGTTCATACAGCCTGGACTTTACAACGGCCATTTCAGGCTACTTTCATGGTCATATTGGCATCCACCAATAATGACTGTTGTAACTGTTGTGAGCACGGACCTTGTGTAGTTCACATATTTGACTAAATTATGACAGTACCGTTAGCGACCACTTTAGACTACTTTCCCCAATTAAAAAATCCTTTCGCCCGTCATCACTGCAAGTTCAAAACATCATCAACCTTCAATTTAACTGGAACAAATCCTTTGAAGTAGTCCAACAGCCCTTAAATGTGTGAAGAACGCTATTGCTCAAGAAAGAATCAAGAAAAACACCTACCTTCTTCTGCAACCTGATTACAGACGTCCATTTCTTTTCGAGAAGGCCGGCGTACTTCTTGTCTATGTCGCCAGGCTGTATAGCGAGGAGGACAGAAGAAAATGAATGAGCAAACATTCAAAGCCGCAGCAAAAGCAACACCCCCCCCCCCCCCCCCAAGTCAACCCCGACAAATCATGCTGCTCTGCTTACGATATGCAACAATACGTAATGCTTCCTTAAAAAATGAGAGCAGCCCCGACTAACTTCATGTACAAAACAAAGTGTAGGAGGCAAAATCTTATCTAACTGAACCTAAGGAAGCAAAAGAAATAGGTTCAACTTGAGGAGTCTTCTTTCATTAGGTTCAAATGTCATTTAGAGCAACGAATGCCACTTGACACATGGTGGTGCTACACAGGAAAAAGTGTCAATCATTCACGATATTGATGCTGATAATTAGAAAAAAACTGGCCAGAAAAGTTGAGCAAGGTACATCTAGAGTGACAGAAAAGTGAAGTTATTCATTTTAAAAGGCATGCTGGAAGTCGCTCCACTAAATAAATATTTACAGAAATGGTGTATTGTGAATATATGGCCAGCATAAGCCTATACGATATGCTTAGCCAGTAGCCACAGCCGATAGAATGAACACAGGCCCCATGACATGCACGACATGACGAGAAAAAAAAAAATGGTTAAAGAAACATAGGGGTCTACTTGGGTTTTCTAGAGTGCAAAGTAACAGATGTCCACATAGCATAGTTTGTGGCGCGACCACACACTTAGAAACCTAAAGCGTTCAGTGTTAGTCCACTTTATAGCACAGTCTCGCATGCGTCCATGTAGGCAAACAGCTTGCGACATATTTGCCGTAGCCCTACGAGAGCAAACGTCTCTGCCTGGGTTCATTGCACTCACGCAGCTGATGCCATTGCTGCACATACACGCATACACCGGCACAGAGGCATCTGTTTGTCCACATCATGGCCGACAGGGACAGTGCAGAGACGCCACTGAGATGAAGAGTAAAGAGATTTTTACAACAGCTTTGCATACTCCTGTCTTCGTTCAAATGATAGATGCTTAAAAAAAACAGTGCTAATAGCGTGTTTCTATAGATGCGGGTCAAATTGATAATGCCTCTTTTTAAGTGGTCTCTGGGGTAGAGTATGCATTCGGTTCAACTGTGATAGCGAATATGTTTCTCAACTCATTCGATTGGTTAAGTCATTTAATTCTAATGACATTTTATATCGACGTGTTGCCGCCGTGAAATGTCATTAGATGCGAATGTCATTTCATTCAAATGACATTAAAATGTCCAGTGTGACAGGGGTATAACACTGTTGTCATAAGTGCTAGGCACCATAAGTGAATACAGCAGTTTTTTCGTGTTCAACACAATTTGGCCGAAAATTATCTGATCTGTTTTTCAACTCCTATCTCATCTCTAGAACTAAAATTTTGTTCCTGTTGCATTTCAAATGATGGCCTTGCAATAAAATGACTTGAGTGTGCACCTTAGAATGTAGTGTCTATTCAAACCGTAGAATTTTTCCGTCGATGCACAAAAGCAATACCTGGCTCCCTAATGCATAAGCTTCCGTTGATGCAGTAAAATAGCAAGAGAAAGTACAGCATTTTTTTTCCCCATAATTAGTGTATGTGAGTGAAATAAACTGTGTGTGAATGAAACAAGTGCTATAAAGATATTGCAGAGGTTAAGTTTGACAATGATGCTTAAAAGCTGTCAGTTTTTAATCCTGTGTGCTAGCGTTTTGTAAGCGTTGTGTGCTAATATTGTGGTAGAAATGGCAGATTCGTTTCATGAAATAGATGGGCAATGTAACTGCACTGAGAAATTTAACAACTGCATCAACAGAAGCTTGCGCATTAGTGAGCCAGGTATTGCTTTTGTGCATGTACAAAAAATTCTATGATTTGAACAGACACTATATTCTAATGATGATATATGTTGTTTAATGGCGCAAGGGCCATTGATGGCCAAAGAGTGCCAGGAAATGATATAGGATGAGAGCAATGGTTATGATAAATGGCTGTAAAAGGGCCTAAAGTTCTGCGCTCTAAAAATGCGTAAGACATATATTTATTAAAATCATGAAAGTGAAGTGAAGCATGCCTGGTGAGAATGGGTCTTTAGCTGTCATGACATCGTAAAATAGGAGCGTTATATTAGCACCGATTTCTCGCCAGCGCCCTTGGTCCCAAGGGCCGGAAGACAGGTGCTCTTTTGGATGTAGCATCCACAGCAGCAGCCTCCTTTTGGAGGCCGTGCTACCGATCACTCGAGTAGATAACATGGAAAGTATTTACTTCCTTTAAGAATGCATTCAATGCATTACACTTAAAAAGAGGTTCGCGACCAATAAACATAGCTGGGTGAAGGGGTATGTGTTCCTTGTACGCTAGTGTAAAATGTTTTTTCCTGTAAGCCTCTAGCTCAGAGCATTCAAGGAGTATGTGAAGTACGGTAAGTGGACGGCCACATCTGTGACAGCTGGGTGGGTCACCACCAGACAAAAGGTGTGTGTGCGTGCTGTGTGTGTGTCCTATTCTAAGCCGACAGAGACTGACCTCTGTGCGGCGTGTTTTCGACATGGGTGGCCAGTTACCGAGGTATGGTTTAATCAAGTGTAACTTGTTACGAATTTGTTGATCCCATAACTTCTGCCAGTAAGCCCTGAGCTTTTTTCGTATGTTTGGTTTTAGGTCCATTATAGGGACAGTAACTGAAGAGTTGGCGGAGCTTCTGTTAATTGACGTGGCGAGCTGGTCGGCCAACACATTTCCTTCGATCTCGCGATGTCCTGGCACCCAGCACACGACGATATGTTGCTTGGAAGTATAGGCCGCGCAGAGTACTGAATAGAGGGATATAATTATAGGGTTTTTGTGTTTTTTAAGATTTTTCAACGCTTTTACGACACTGAGAGAGTCGGTGTATATAACTACCCTTGGGTATTCAATTCTTTGATGTGTTTAACGGCTACGAATAACGCATAAGCCTCGGCTGTAAAAATGCTTGCGCTGTGCTGGTGGACAGAACGCCGGCATCCGAGAAGGATGGGCCGAACGCCGCATAGGACACGCCAGTATGGGATTTGGATGCATCAGTATAATATTCTGGACAGTCATATTTATGTTGCAGCTCTAAGAAATACATCCGAATGTGTATGGGGGAGGCATGCTTTGTGACAGCTACGAAAGATGTGTCACAGTTTATAACCTGCCACTGCCATGGCGGGAGCCGCAGAGCGGGGGGGCTGAGGTGGTATTCAAGCAGTGGGACATCTGTTTCTTCAGCTAGGTCTCTAACACGCAGCGAGAAAGGGCGTGCCATTGCGGGTCGATTGTAAAAAAGCTGAGAGCTGAACAGGTCGTTGATGGTGGAATATGCAGGTTGCTCACTGTTCGCATTTACTTTAAGGAAATATATGAAGGAAGAATATGTTCTCTGCAGATGGAGTGACCACTCGTCCGACTCTACATAAAGGCTTTCAACTGGGCTTGTTCTAAAGGCTCCTGTGGACAGACGGATGCCTTGATGATGAACAGGGTCCAACATTTTCAGAGCGCCTGGCGTGGCAGAGTGATAGACTATTGCCCCATACTCAAGACGTGAGCGTATAAGGCTTCTATACAGATTCATGAGGCACTTTCTGTCGCTGCCCCACGTTGTTCGTGACAGCACCTTTAGGATATTCATTGTTTTCAAGCATTTATTTTTAAGATGTTTTATGTGCGGTACAAAGGTTAACTTTGCATCTAAAATTATACCTAGGAACTTATGTTCTGTGTTTACGGGTAGACGCTCACCCTTAAGGACCAGTTCAGGATCAGGGTGCAAGCCTCTTTTTCGTGAAAAAAGGACACAGGTGCTTTTCTGTGGGTTCAGTTTGAACCCGTTTTCATCAGCCCATTTGGATATCTTGTTAAGGGCGAGCTGAACCTGTCGCTCACAGATCCCAAGAGAACACGATTGAAAACCTATCTGCACATCGTCGACATATGTTGAATAAAAGATATTTCGTGGGATGTACAGACGGAGAGAATTCATTTTTATAATAAAGAGCGTACAGCTGAGCACCCCACCCTGTGGCACTCCGGTTTCCTGTACAAATGTTCGGGACAGAACATTGCTCACTCTAACGCGGAAGGTACGATCAGACAGCTTTCAATGACACTGAACATATTACCGTGTATACCTATGTGTGAGAGGTCTCTCAATATTCCAAACCTCCACGTAGTATCGTAGGCCTTCTCCATGTCGAGAAACACAGATAAGAAAAACTGATTATGAACAAAAGCCTCACGTATGTGTGCCTCGATACGTATAAGATGGTCGGTGGTAGATCGGCCCTCTCTAAACCTGCACTGGTATGGGTCGAACAATTTGTTTCTAAGTAGTGGAGTAAGCGGCAATTGATCATTTTTTCAAATAGTTTGCAGAGGCACCTTGTTAACGCTATAGGTCTGTAACTTGATACAGTAGAGGGATCCTTTCCCTGCTGCAAAATTGGAATTATAATAGCCTCCTTCCACGAGGAGGGGATCACACCTGAAAACCATATGCGATTATAAAGACAGAGGAGGGTTTCTTTAGTTTCGGAGGGTAGTTCCTTCAGCATCGCGTACATTACATTGTCAGAACCTGGGGTAGATGTATTACAGCAGCCGAGTGCTGTTCGCAGTTCTGCTAAGCAGAATGGTTGATTATATGCCTCATTTCTTATGGATTTTCTTTCTAACTTTTGTTTTTCTATTCGTGCCTTGTGATTCTGAAAGGATTCGGAGTAGCGTGAGGAGCTCGATATCTGTTCGAAATGTGTGCCAAGAAAGTTGGCTTGATCCTCCAAGCTTTCCCCAAGGCTATTTACTAGTGGAAGGCAATACGTTTGTTGGCCCTTAATTTTCTTTACCTTATTCCACACTTTTCCCTCATCTGTGTACGAGTTGATACTCGATATAAACTTTGTCCAGCTCTCTCGTCTAGCTTGTCGACGCGTTCTCCTTGCCTGCGATTTGACCCGCTTGAAATTTTCCAGGTTTTCTGCTGTAGGGGAATCGCGAAG